TGTGGGACCACTATCACCCCTTAGGGTTCTTTAATTCTAGTAACTACGCGAAATTCTACCCCAAAGCCCCGTTCTAATTTTACGGGCCCCTACATCAAGGATTTTGCAAGTGCTTACAGGGGTTCTTGGTGGCCTTATGGGTTTTTTTCATGAGGGCGCTCTAGGGTTTCATATACCTTGCCGATGCCTCTGAAAAGCTATAAGCCCGAAGCCATCCAAAGACCAAGGGCGCCTGTAAAGTCTCGTCGTTTCACAAGCTTCAACGCAATCCCAAACTCCCAAAAAGCACGAAAACCCCAAACTCTAAAACCCTAAAGCCCGAAACCCTAAAACCCCAAAAGCCCTAAACACGAAAAGCCCTAAAAAGCCCTGAAACCCTGAAGCCCGAAACCCCCTGAAGCCACAAAAAGCCCTGAAGCCCTAACAAGCCCTGAACACATGGAGCCAAGCCTTTCTCTCGGACCCCTAAACCCGAGCCCGTAGGTCTGCAACGCCTAAAATCCCTAAAACCCGATTATTCTATCAAACACATGCAATTTTGGGCCTCAAGGCGTGGATGAAGGGTTTCTGGGTTGGATACCATTTTGCATTTTTTGATGTAGTAGAACCCTAGTACGTAAGGATTAGAAAAATATGGTCATTGATAATATGGCCCCTAACAGGGAACCGGTAAAGTCCCTAAAACCCTAGTGTGGATGATATGAATCCTGCATGACCTTATAAGACCTTAAACTATGGGAATTATGGTATAGCATATTCCTTAGTCTGCGTAATGCAGGATTTATATCATCAACCGTAGTGGAATCCGGCGATCGGGTTTTGGGTTTAGGGACCCCTCACTCCTTTCCCAACGCCCCGGGCACCGAAGCCTTCGAGCCCAAAAACCGAAAAAAAAAAACAACAAAAAACACAAAACACCCAAACCTCGAAACTCCAAGCCCCAAGAGAAAAAGATCCCCAATCCCCCACACCTCCCTGCATACGAGCACCTTGAACTCTGAACCCCCAAAGGCCAGCTGCCCCAAACTCACTGGGGGGTAGAAAAAAAGAAGACCCGAAGCTCGAAGTGACCCAGGTAGTGGCAGCTTCGGAACTCGAGGCGGCGGCGCTCAGCTGGCCCGCGAAGGCCGTGGTTACAAGGAGGTTGTCTTGCCGATAGTTGTTGCATTGCGTTTTGCGTTTCTGTTTAGGGGGTTGGGCATTCGTGGTTTGGCCTGTTGTTGGGTTTGGGGTTCTGGGTGTGGGGCTTAGGCTATTAGGGGGTCAGGGCTTTCTGCTCAAGGGCTTAGGCTATTCAGAGCCTAGGGCTGTGGCTGACAGAAGAATCAGGGAAAGGACGTGGGTCGAACGGCAGGTGCTTGGGCATTGCCGAGTTTGCGAGTTGGAGATCCGGCGGTTCAGGGATTTAAAGAGCAGGGCTTGCGGTGTCGAGAGCTGTTAGGGTTTAGAGATTAAAGTTTAGGGTTTAAACCCTAAACCCTTTAGGGTTGGTTCGCCTTTCTCAATCTCTAGGGGGGGAAAGGCACAGAGAACTACCTACAGAGAGAGAGAGAGAGAGAGAGAGATATATATATATATGTATATATATATACATACACATAGTGTACTGTATACTTAGGCCTTAGGCCTTTAACAGGGCTCCGTTGCAGTACAGGCATGGACCATCATGGACCCGTAACATGGTGCCGAAGCGTTGGGCGTTTTTCGAAGATGCAAAACTCCAAACCCAATGCCTATTTAATGATTACGGTTTCGGGTTTAGGGTTCCTATGCCCATTTAGGGTTTAGAATTTCAAACTCATGCTAAACCGCACACCCTACACCTTCAACCCTATACATCCTACGCCTGCAACTCTACCCATAGGCTCCATAGTAGTTCCTTTTTGGGAGTACCTTGTCGGATCCTAAATACATTCCACAAAACGGCACTACTATGGAGCCTATGGATAAATCCTAGATCTTCAACTCTAGACCTCAATTATCAGCCCTATAAACCTGTGCTCCTCGATCCTAAGTCTAAGACATTTTCAGGTGGGTAGTTGCCGTTATAGGAGCCTTATAGAAGGTCTATATACCTGAAAGAAGCCTTATAGAAGCCCTACAAAAACCTAAAGTCCCCACCTGTAGTTTCCTTTAACTAAGTCCCTAAACCCTAAACCCTAAGTCATGGTGGGCCTCCAGGCTTTCGGGGCCGAGCATCAGCCGTTTTGGCCGCAAGCTCATCTTCTTTCTGTTGTCGAAGTCAGGACTTACGGTTGATGATATAAATCCTGCATTACCCATAGTAAAGACTATACCATCATTCCCCATAGTTTAGGGTACTTAAGGTAATGCAGGATTTATATCATCAATATAGGGGCTCCATAGAAGGGTGCTTTAAGGGGTTATAGGATGCTAGCATTCAGGGCTTGCTTGAGGCGTTGCAAGAAGTGGCAGTACTATCCCCTGAGACATCGTCCCTTTGCACTTGTACTATAGTAAACCCACCGATGCCCAAGGATTATTCTAGTTTATCAAGCCCTGTATATTGTGTGTGTGTGTCTCGCTGTGCATGATAAAGTTACATTCCAGATGCCAGCAGGATCAGAAGTCGTCGTCGTGGCTGTCGTAGCAGTCGAAGTGGTGCTAGCACGTTAGGGGTGATTAGAGCCACTTTGTCTGCGGTTGACACTATTGATCCTCTGCTTCATCTTCGTACTTTAACCTTTTAACAGCTCGAGATCCTCCACATCAGTCCCCTTGCTTTCGATCCATGCTGCAACACCCTGTCTTCGTTGGATTAACAGCTGGACCAGTTCTCACGACGGTGAACTTGCTGGACGGTGTCAGCAGCATGCGACTGTCACAAGCCACCTGACCGTCACGAAGAAACTGCGTTTATTGGTCCTCCCATCGTTGTGGGCATGCGTCTTGAAACCCTAAGCCCTAAGCCTTGAGCCCTGACGGTGCCATCTTCTTCAGAGGTTCCCAGGGCTCGGTCTCGTAGTGAATTCAAAGCCACCTAGCTCTTAGGGGTTTAGGCTTTTAGGGTTAGGGTTCATAGTTCTGAAATCCTACACCCCACACCAACGACTGCCGGCCCGTAGCCACATCATGCAGACCCACTTTGTCTTGCACGCCAGACGCACGCTGAAAAGCCGTCGGCGAGGCAGCCCCGATGAAGACCTGCCTGGACCTTGTTGAACAGACACAGAGCATGGGGTCGCAGCCACATATTATTTGGGAGCTCTACATCGTAGGGTTGGCAATTGTTTTTTTCGGACTCAGGGGCTTTAACTGCGAGAGTTTTTGCGATTTGGGAGTTCACGGCAAGCAGTTTCTGCTTGAGTCGGTTCTTGATCTTCAGGACCTACGGACAAACATTCGAACTAATTGCAGAAGTGTTGGTTTGGTCTCAGGACTTGGAAACGCTGTCGGCTTGGTATGCCTTCCACCTGTACTGTCAGCCTACAAACCCTGTAGGATGTACCGTATTAAGGGTCTAAGCCCTAAATCCCTAATTAACGAAACCCTATAAACCTTAAACCTTAGACCCCAAACTATATCAATCGCCGGCTGCAAGTTTAGCTTGAGGTCTCCCCCGGTTGTGTGTGTCCGGGGTTGGCGGTGCCGGGTCTCTGCCTGCGACCTCTCTGAAACCCAAGACACATGAGCCATTGGGTCGTGGTCGTGGTGTTTAGGGCTCAGGGTGTATAGGGTTTAGGTTTAGGGTCTAGGGTTTAGGTTAAGGGTTTAGGGTGTAGGGTTCAGGTTTAGGGCTTAGGCATGGTCTTGTTTATGGCCTCCCCTTGGCCCTTTGAAATGCTGAGCCAGGAGGACATGTAAATCACATGGGCCTGGGCCGCAGTCATTGCAGCCTCGAGCGTGAAGTCTTTCCTAACTTATCAGCTCCATACCCACAGTCCGGAACCCTATACAGCCATTATCAAAGGCGCATCATACTTGGAATTTGGTGCAAGTATGGTTAAGGGGCATTAATTAACGTAATTGGAATGGTGTTTTTTGGCTGAACTTTATGGGGATGTTACCAGGAATTGTGCACTTCCCTAAACTGAGTGAGTTCGTAAAATAAGAGATACGCGGCTTTCTGGGTATTCGTGCCATTGCGCGTTTCCCTGCTTCGGCGCAGAGGTGGGGCAGGAGACCGCCTTTCTTGCGATTCAGATTCCACCCCTTCTCCCCAAGCCCGTTGTTCAAAACGGCGTCCATTAAGGGGGCCTTCCACACCAAAATTCCAAACCCTAAACCGGAAACCCTCAACCCAAAGCCTTCGCGGGGTCAGCTACCGCATGTTGGGCAGAGGGCTTGATTTTCCGCAGTTTTTGAACTGGGATTGGGATGAGGGCTTAAGCTTTGGAGGCTATTCGGAGGCCCCTCGACGCAATCAGACGGGCTCCTTCGAATCCACGGGGTAGCTCTTTCCTTTTCAACTTCCATTGCCGTCCGTTATAAGGAGCTTGCTTATGGGTTTCCATAGCAAGGAAAGTGTACTCTGATACATATTTCCATTCTGGCATCTGAACATCAGGCTCCGTAGCAAACGCCCCAAACCGCAATAAAGCCGTTAACACCCTGAACCCTAAACCCTATATGTAACCCTAGACCCTAACAGTCTTCGTTGGCTTCTTCAAGAAGAGCCCAGAGAACTTGGTTTCCCAAAGCCCTGAGCCGAGCCATCGAAACTCACTGTCCCTAATCCTGAACAAAAGCAGACCTAAGTGGGTACTGTTGATGATATAAATCCTGCATTACCTTAAGGACCCCAAACTATGAGAATTACGGTATATATTCCTTCTAGGTAATGCAGGATTTATATCATCAACCGCAGTTCTCTATATTAGGGTCCCTTTTAGAGTCTGTGTATACGGGTGCCGTAGTGTTTTTTGGGGATCTAGGATCTAGAAAGGACCCTGACTTCGAGAACTTCCCAGGTGGCTTCCTTCTTTGGTAGCTTTTGAGCCCAGCTGCTGTTGGAGTCCTTCCCACCCTTGGAGCAGATAATGGCCGCAAAGCAAGTGACAGCGATCAGATCCAAGCCATCCACCTCCTGGACGACATTGAAGTGTTGGGAGACGGTGCTTCGTCGCCAGTGCCAGTTGATTCTGTCTTGGAATGAGCATATGATAGCTTAGTTTCGGGGGCCGGAGTGGAAAATCCTAGGCCCGAGGCCCTAAGCCCGCACTCGAGATTTGAGGTTCGGTCTGTTTTTGTCGAAGAGTTGCCATGTGCGATCTACTGCATTCTTCTGGGGACGGAGCGGGGCCGAAAACAAGGCGTCCCTGTAGTACAAAGTGTTGCAGAGTGTTTCGGTCGGGCCTTCTCTGGCCACAGACTTGTATTCCTAGTTGCCCTAGTGTTGTTCTATGCGCGAGTGTCGATGATGGCAGCGGCTGTGAGAACGACGATGATGGCGATGGTGATGACGGTGATGAATGTGATGATCGGGCTCCCAATTTCGAAGCTCGGCTCCTTGTCCTGTGTAGCACAGCACCTGGACCCAAAGATCTGGCTGATTGTGGTTTTGGCGATTGAGCCGCGTCCCAACCTTGAGGTGCTAAAGGACCATTGCGAGTTCGCTGTGTTCGCCGAGTATAAGAACCTCGACGAAGATGCCCAGAAGAAGCTGCTGCAAGCGCTGGAGGGCGCCGTGCAGCCAGGGTTCTTGCAGGAACATTTCTGATGTTTTTGTGCATCATCCAGCTGCCTTCGCCACCGACTGATGATCCCCCCAGAATCAGTTGCAAAGTTCTTCACTTGATGACCAGAACTAGGGCAAGACGGCTGCCTCTCTGTGCCTCACGTGTCCTTTCTCGCCTGCAGCAGCCCAGCATTTGTAGAGCGGGTCCTTGAACCTTCTTGAAGCCTGAGCCCTGCAGTCAAGCACTGCTGCACATGGCTAGTGCATTTCGTTAGCCGAAAATATGGGAGGCAAAGTTTCCAGAAGATTGCACCAAGATACCACGAACCTTCAGCAGTGCACCCGCGAGGGTTTTGTTTGTTGTATTTCGCTCATTCGAGCCGCCCAGGTTCATGCAGCTTGCAAGCATTCTTTCGCAGTTGGAGCTACGAAGTGGGAAGGCAAGCCGCAAGAACAGTCGAAAAAGTAAGGCCGAAAGCTCTCGCGAAGATAGCGCTTTGGTCACGGCGGTCAGAGCAGCTGCCGACGATCCGCGAGTCGTGGATGCCCTAACGCCCGATGTTTTCGACATCCTTCGGGACTTCTTGTCATCATGGGGTGCACCTATTGGTGCTGAAGAGTTGCTCTACCGACACAACCTTCATGAGGTCCAGAATCGTCACCTATTTAGACAACCGAACCAATTTCTGAGTTCGGATCAGAGCGTTACGAAGCGCAGCTGCGATAGCTTCTGGGAGCACTTGCGCGCAGTGTCTATCGCAGGCCTGCAGCTCTTCCGCAGCATGACGAAGATGCGTTTGGAGTGCAAAGTCGTGGGAAGTCCACATCATAAAGTTGGACTAACAATGGTTGTAGAGGACTCGTTGGGAGATCGGGCTCATTGCGGTGTGTACAACCTGCCGGGGGTGCACAACCAGCAGACAGCAGACCAGGCCATTCCCCTGAACTCCACGTTGATCATCGCTGAGCCCTTCATGAAGATTATGGCCGATGGCACTCGAGGAATTCGCGTGGACAACCCGGAGGAGCCTCTTTCCGCACGTTGATATGCGTCTGTCGTGCGCTTGCTGTTTCTTGGTGCCTTGCTCCTATTTTCGTTTCGTCCACATCTCAAATGTGGCCCAAACCCTATACCCGAAACCCTGTAGATCTGTAGATTTCGCCTAAACCCAACTGGTTACCAACAAGACGAAGAGCCACATGGTAGCAACTGCAATAGATACGTGTATAAAATAGCTTTCAGCATGCTCGTGTTGCTTCCATTACTGTCGTTCGTAATTGCTAGAACTCGTACCTCATCATCAGCAGCAGCAGCAGCAGCAGTAACAGCAGCAGCAGCAGCAGCAACAGCAGCAACAGCAGCAGCAACAACAGCAGCAGCAGCAACAGCAGCACCAGCAACAGCGCTGGTTTTGCTCGTAATTTCATTATAACTGCTGAACAGTCTTTCATGCCACACCATCTCAACCATACATGATGTAATGGTGGCTCTGTTGCGGCTGCTGCTGAGCATGAGGGCTTGGACGAGGGCAAGATTGATGATGAGGATGCACTAGTGAAGCGACAACAAGGTGATGGCAAAGATGGCAACCTGTTCCGGGTCTCGAAGTCATTCCAAGGATTTTCCTGGAGGTCCAAACCGAGAAATCTTTCGCACACACCGTACAGCATGGACAGCTGCCACCATGTTAAATGCCCTAAACCCATCTATACCTTCGTTCTCCTGGTTGCTCAACCCTAAACCCTAAATCCCTAAAACCCTAACCCCTAAACCCTAAACCCCTAAACCCTAAATCCACAAGTAGGGATGTCTTTCTGCCGTCTCCACCGTCCCGGCGACCCGAAGTGTAGTCGAAGTGACTCCAAGACTGGCTAATCTATTCAGACAGAAGCTCTCAGGAGATCCAAATTTTCCTTCCGGGACAGCGACTTCTTCCCCGTCTGGACGCGCGTATCTCCGCGCGGCAACCTGCAGGTGCCGGAGGACAATCCGAAGAGCCCGAGCATGGCGTGCGAGAGCCGGTGGAGGTGCATGACTTGCTGGGAGACTTTCAGCCCGGTGCAACGGTGGAGCTACATGGCCTCACATCGAAACGTGGTGGGCAACTCAACGGCAAGGTTGGAGTGGTAGCGGATGAGCAAGATCTTACAGACGTCGAGCGCATTTCCGTGGAGGTGGCTAGCACCACCGGAATTGTAGAAGTTGTCAAAGTTCGGCCTTCCAACTTGCGCTGCGTGGCCCAGACTTCGTCGCAGGACATCCTTGCCGCCAAGGCACAAGCCAATGAGGCCTTTGCCCGACGTGACTACCTTGCTGCAATTGAAGGTTATGGCGAGGTCATCAGGAAACTGTCGCTCATCAGAACTGATGAGGCTGCCTCCGAGAAGGTGAAGTGTCTGTGCAACAGGTCGCTCTGTTTCAGCAAGCTGGAGCGGTGGGATGAAGCCCGTGCAGACTCACTGGCGGCAGTGGAACGACTCTAGGCTGCAGGGCGAAAGGGTCTGGATTCTGGTCCCTTCCCATGTTCAGTTTTGCTCATTTGTCAGGTTTTCGTTTCACCAACGGTACGAACATCTTCGGTACATGTGCTAGGTACAGATTTTACAGCTTCCACATATTTCCACATGCTAAAAGCAGGAAACTTGTGTTGACTGTTAATTCCACCCTATAGCCGTCGGGTTGAACCTCTGCTTCTCTCTCCGAGAAACACAGATAAGCGTGCTGCCCCTGATGCGAACATCGTAATCTCACGAACTAAGAGGCCCTGGTGTTTGATTTTGTAACCAGCTCTACTGTAATCGCTCTCCTTCGGCTGAAGTATTCATGATTTTTTGCACACATGCACTAATGTGCATGTGTGATACCTACACCTTACTGTAGTATTGTGCAACAAGCTTAATTAGTTTAAGAACCAGCAAATGTGTCTAGTACACACTCCATGGTATTATGGTCTATTCGTAACAGCTGGCGGTCTTGCCTTGCAGTCCACTGGGACTTGATCAGGTCGGAGTCGCACGAGATGCCCCGAAAGCCCTGAAGCCCGAAACCCAGCAGTGCGACGAAGTCTAACTGTCAAGGATTGGGGGCGGGGCAAGGCGCACCTTGGATGATGTAAGATGGGAACTCCTGTTCTACACACAAGTCGTAGTTCACATAGATCGAATCGAACAAGAAAAGTAACAATACCAAGCAAAAGAAGAACAACAAGCATCATGAGCAGCAACACCAACAGCAGAAGCAGCAGAAGCAGCAGCAGTAACAGCAACCACAGCAATCTCAATTTGTTCATTCCATCGTTCGTTCATTCATTCATACACAACTTGATTTGTTCATGTTTTCTCCCGTTCATTCCTTCATTCATGCATGCAGCGATTCGATCATTAATGCATCCGTGCATTCATTCATTTAGACCCCCGCGTGGGTCCGTTCCATGCCTTGGTATGCGTCATGCAAAACCATGCGCTGACCAGAGGACAAATCCAAGAACACAGACCACAAACACACGAACCAGCGAAGCAACCCAAACAGACGAGCGAAGCTATGATCCAGGCAAAGCTGGACAGAAGTGGAGAATGCCCTACAGCCGGCATATGTTGCCTTGCACTACAGCAAGCTGCCAAGAACTGGACAAGACTTGGTGGTACGAGTGAAATGAGTAGGATTTGCATGTACGCACGATGTATACATGCATGCATGTTTGTATGTACATGTATGTATGTATCTAAGGATGCTTATGTATGTAAAGGTGCATGCATGCATACATGCATGCATGCATGCATGCATGTTTTGTACGTGTGTATGTATCGCGTGTATGTATTATGCACTTAATCTGTATGCATGCATGCATGAATGTATGTCTGTACCCTGCCTCCCTGCCTCCCTGCCTGCCTGCCTGCCTGCCTGCCTGCCTGCCTGCCTGTCTGCCGCCACCTACCATATATACGTATGTGCATACATACATCCATGCATGCATGCAGACATACGGACATGCATGCATACATATGTACATATATATATATATTAATATACATGCATAGATTCCAAATTGCACACGTATACACATACACACATGCACACTTATTACGGAACAGCAGTGCAGCACATCGCCGCACAGCACAGCACCACAGGGCGGCAAAAACCGCATAGCATGGCATAGCAGCTGCCCTAAGTAACGTAGAAACACAGCGCATAGCCTAGCGTAACTACAAAACACAGTGCAAAGCTCCATACCACAACACGGCACACCACAACACGACTACACACATCCGTTCTTCGTTGTTTTTGATTCGTGCCTGTAAATCGTACTGGCATACATGCCTATCGTTCAAACCATGAAAGTCTGTGGTATCGAGCCTTTCCTAGCTGTGACCTGTGAGACAAGGAGATCCGGCCAATGGCAAAGCGCACTTCCGCCTAGCATGTGCGATCTTCCGGGCTGGCATGGTTGAGAATCAGACCAAGGTATCGGATGCAGTAAAGCATATTTGCAATGCGGCAGCACTGAATAAGATGCATGCCGATCAGTCAATCACAGACTTGCTTGGAGAGATAGCCAGGATGTCAGAGAAGCCTGTTCCCTCACCTGGAGGCGTAGTGGCGGTCAGGTCATCACAGCAGTTGGCACAGGCCCTTGGTAGTGCGGCTACGAAGTTCATCTGTCTGACCCCGGGTGACTATCCGTGTCTTCCTTGGCCACCAGCATTTCGGGTGGATCACGATGTTACAATGGTTGGCTTGGGTAATGTTACCTTCTTAAAATCTGCAAGCCATGTTTTTGATATTAGGGCACGCTCGCACATGAGCAACATTCGACTAACCGATGGGCAGATCAGTGTGCAAGGGCAAGGTTTCGCTGCATGTGTGGTGAGCGGCACTGCCTCGTGGCTCACGTTGGTCAACTGCACCGTTGAGAACAGCTGCGCAGGTGGAGTTCTGGTTTGTGACAGTGGCCGTTGCACAGTGGAGAGTTGCCAATTCCACAATCTGTCACGGCAAGCCATCGAAGTGAGGGAGCTTGGGCAACTAGAAGCACGACACACGAAATTTCAGCGTGTCAGGCAGGGGGTGTCGGCATACGCAGGAGCGCGCAGTGTTCGCATTGAGCACGTGCTCATCGATCGCACTCAGAACGAAGGAGTTTTGGCCTCTGGTGATCTCAAGACAGCAGAGACCAAAATCCTTGAGCAGAACCTTGATGGCACGGAGCTGCGCCAAGAAAACAATCCCCGGGGAACCCCGGGATGGAAGCAGCGGGCAGAGGCACATCAAGCCGGTCGTTTGATATCAATGATGTCAGCTGAAATGGCAGAGGAGCTGGATTGGAACGGCAGGCTGGTTTTTGTGATGTCGGATTCCACGATCAGGAATGCTGGAGGTTTGGCCTGTAGCTTCGATGAAGGCTGTGCAGCGCAGGTTATAAGGTGCTCTCTGGAGAAGACAAGCAACTAGGTATGCCACTGGACATTTTACGTTTCCTTCTGTTGGGCTTGTAGTCTAAGAAGATCCGATTAACAAGACTGTTCTCAGGCTTTCAGGGGCCAGCCCAGGTCAAAACTTCTCCGCTGGGTTTGCGGGTATTGGAATGATGATCAAGGGCGGGACGGATGCCACAGTGAAGCAATGCCGATTCCTGGAGAACATCATAGGCTTGAACGTGGGCTTCAACTACGCAGGAAATGTTGTTGTCGAGAACTGTGTCTTTGCTAAGAACAACCTCACGGATCTCGTGGAAGACGGCACAACAGACCCTGCACAGTTCATGCGGGATAGGCTCCCTAAGGGGGCGCCATCCGACCTTTCTGCCAAGGTTCAGGCATATGTCGAGACGCACCAGCAAGCTGGTGTATGGAGCACACCGATTCAGCAAGTTGGATTGCGGTTCCTTTCAAAGAAGGATCGGATTCCTGAAATCTCAGAGATATCAGCAGTGGCAGTGGGCACGACAACGAAGCAGCCTTTGCCGCAGAAACTTGCATGGGAAGCGGCTTCGCAGAATCAGTGTCTTGTCCGCCAGATTCCATGGACGCACAGGGTTGAACTTTCTGAAATTGAGGACTGCTGTGTCCGGGCGGGCGGGGCGAGTTGTTACAGGTTTGCCCCTGCGACGGGAACCCGGTAAACATGCGACACCGCGGCATTCTGGCACAAAAGCCCTGAACCCTAGGTTACATAAGCAGGGTGCATGAAGTTCGAATAATAGCAGCCCCCTGCAATTCCTGTATAGTTCCAGTGTAATATACTAATCAGGCTGTTGTGATGGGTTCAGGGTTTAGTGTGATGGGTTCAGGGTTTAGGGTTTGCAGGCTTTGGATCTTAGATGGCCTACAGGTTTGCAGGGCTTGTGCCGCGTGTATGTTTTGAGGGCCTTTAGGGCTCATGGGGTTTAGGGTTTAGGGCGGTGTGGTACCGCACTTGTTTCATCGCACCTGGGCTGTTCTAGATCAGTTTTGATTTGTTCCTGTTCTTGGGCTCACTTGCAATGACCCGAATCTTATTCCTGAGCCATATCTTCCCCCATCCGAATCTGGCAAAAAAGACCAGGTATGATCTGGCAACGCCTTGTCCATGTGGTTTCTGCAGCACAGAGCTCGGCAACAGCGCAGAGTGTCTGGGCTGCGATCATGACTACGGTTTAGTGTCGCTCAGTTCATACAAAGCCAAACCAAAAGAAGGGACTTGAAGAGTTCGTAAGAATAATAGTCATAGTAGTAATAATCAGAATAAGAGTAATAACAATAATGGTAAAAATAACACTAATAGTAAAGAATAATCATAGAAATGATAAGAAAACGACCAACTATTCCTTCGGGGCCCGTTTGGAACATAACGCACCTGGGATTTTGCACAACGTTTACAGTCAGAAGGATTCATCCGATGGTTTGAGGCACAGGGTGCACTGGCCCAACTGAGGTCATGAATGGTTAGCAGTAGGAGCTTGACTTATCATTATTCAACTTTTCTTAAGGCTCCCAATCAAAAATAGCTAGAAAATCCCTAAACCCTAAACCCTATTTCTGTCCTGTCCCGCCTCTAGAAGTACTAGGAGCCTTAAGACTTGGAATAGGGGATCTGTTGCAAGAAGCTCTAGGGCTTGCGGGTTTGGGTTTAGGGGTTTAGGGTTCAGGGCTTTGGGGTTGAGGGTTTAGGGTTTAGGGGCTTAGAGGTTAGAGTTGAGGGGTTCAGGGTTTAGGGATTTAGTATAGGGTTTAGGGTCTAGGACTGTCGATGAAGAAAAACCTGCTAGGTCTGCACAGTTGGCTCCCTCTAAAGCAAGAAGGATCCCGAACTGAAAAGCACGCCCTTCGTTTACCAGTTGTGGGTTTGTTGAGTTTAGGGCTTTGAGAGCCGTAAATTCAACACCTGAAACCCACAGCCCTAAACCTAAACCTTAAATTCTAAGCCCTAAACCGAGGTGCGGACAAGTCGGTCTGCTGAACCACATCGATTTCCCGCCGTTCATGTGCCTGCCGGTCTCGGGGCTTTGAGCTTGGTAGCTGTTTAGGCTTTCAGCTTGAAGGTGTAGGGTGTAATGTAGGAGGCTAAATAATTACCAATACTATTTTGGGGGTTCCTTAGTACAATTTTAGTACAATGGGCCCCAAAGCCCTATTCTAATTCTTAAGGCCCCCATATTAGGCTGTCGCAGTAGGACTTGCCGATGTCATCCTTTAAGACCCTAAAGCAGTGTAATTCAGCCTTCGCCTCTTTATCCATAGACTTGGAACCCCAGACCTTCAACTGTGCCAGAAACGCGGGGTGCTGGTGAACCTCAGGCCCTAAACCCTGGACCTTAACACCTACACCCCAAACCCCTAAACCCCCAAACCCTAAACCCCTAGGCCCCTAAACCCAAGACCCCCAAACCCAAGACCCCTAAACCCTAAACCCCCAAAACCCTAAACCCCTAAACCCTAAACTCTAAACCCCTAGCCTTAAATCTTCCCTCCAAGTGCAGGCTCGTCCTGCCCTCGCGGAGAAGTTGGACGACCCAAATGCACAGTTCTACTTCCGCCCCTCCGACCTGGGTTTAGTGTTAAGGGGTTTAGAGCTTGGGGTTTGGGGGTTTAGGGTTTGGGGTTTAGGGTTTAGGGTTTCGGGTTAACCTCAGGGCTTTAATTTCTGTGGGGGCCTATATAAACACCAATACCCTAAACCCTGTAAGGGGTCTCCCCAATACCACCTAGGAGGTTTAGTTTGGGGTATATGATTAGAATAGGGTGTTGGGGGTTCCNNATTATTAAGGCCCCTATATTAAAAGCGTTCGAGTTTCATCATTGGGTCTTTGACGTGTTTGTAAAGGAGTCTCGATAATGGAGATCCCTGCTTCGCAACCCCCCTGTCTCTTTGGGTCTTGAGTTGAGATCCTGATTTTTTTGTTACGACCCCTGTTAAGGGAGGATGATTTCTTAATGAGGGGTCTACATTACGCCACAGCTATGCTTGGTTTTTAGGTTTGGGGTCTCCGGTATGTTGTTCAGTAGCAGGAGTCTTGTCGTAAGCGTACCTCCTCCTCCTCCTCCTAGTCCTCGTAGTCCTCTCTCCATTGTGCACCCATGTCTTCGAACATCACCGCAGCCTCGGTTTAGTTTCCGTTTCCTCTTAGAGAGAAATTGGGCTCTGCAAAATTTCGCCGTGGTCGGAGTTCGGGGGTTGAGGACCTCTGCCAGGCATCAGAGCACGAAGCTTCTCCCTGAGCGTTGTCTGAACTGAAGGTTCTCCTGGCTCTTTTGGGCAACTCAGTGTCAGATTTGAGAGCTCCTGAAACTCAGAAGCCCTACACCCAGGCACTTTTCAGCCGCAGCCCCCCAGCACTCCCAAGATCAAGCCCCCGAACTCCCCAGGAGGTTCAGATGCATCTGCCCCATTTCGGCACTGGTGTCTTATGGGAGAGGCTCGCCTGGGGGGGGGGGGG